CGTGTCTCCATACGGGAGCTCCTCCAGCCCCTGAGCATCCTCGTGGCCTCCTCTGGACTTGCTCCAACAGCTCCATGTCCTTCTTATGTTGAGGACACCAGCAGTGCACACAGTGCTTCAGGTGGGGTCTCACAAGAGCAGAGGGGCAGGATCACCTCCTTCGAGCTGCTGCTCACACTTCTTTTGATATACCTCCAAGGAATTGGTTCTTTAAAAACTGTTCCCCAGGCACTCAGAGGCTCTGTCCACCCCAAGACACTGAACTGGACTTTATGCTCTTCAAAACCAGCTTGTACTAATTCTAAAGCAAAAAAAAATAAAGAAATACAAGCTCTTTTTCCTACCTTCATATTCCTCCTGGAGCACAATCACCAGTTAAGACACAGAATGTCCCCTTTCTGTGTGAATCCCTGCAAACACTTGTGCTCCATCTCAGCCTCGCCTTTTCCCTGCTCTGGCATAGCTGAGTGCCCTGAAGATTGCAGCGTGGTCTAACACCTCCAGAGCTGTGACATGAAGTTCAGCAGCTGGGAGATGCACGTGGCCGAACTAAACCAGCACTCGCTTGGCTCTTCTGGCTCACGTTCAGCGCCCCTGGTTCATCCGAGCACTTGGCTGCATTTAGGGCACTTCATCAAGCTCTTTACACTCAGATCCCTTAAGCCTGATAACTGCAACATATCTTAAGTTAAAAATGAAAATGAAGAGTATTCAATTCTGTTCTATTTGCAGTGATTTTAAACACATCCTCAAATATTGTATTAAATCAGGGATGCAAACCAGAGCTGGAAATGAGAATAAGCTTAAAGCCTTCAGCCTGGTTTTAATCAAGCCAGCTTGACTTCAGATCTGCTCCCTGGTCACAGCGTTGCATTTCACTCTTTCTTCTTCCTTACAGAGGCTATGACTTTGAGGGGACAACGATTGGATTAGCCTTTCTAAAATCCATCTGCAGTGATATATATTCTGCAGGTATTATTCAGGTCTGATTTCTTTTTGTTTATATTATTCTTAAAGGTTTTCCTGCTCAACCAGCAGAGAATGCTCCTGAACACTGTGGGGTGCACAACGCTTTCCGTTTGTGTCATTATTTTATCAGGCTGTAGAAACACACGGTCAGGGCTTATTTGAAATTAGGTGCAGAGAATAACAGATGCACACACAAAGCACAGTGTCTGTGTTACCTAAATGCCAGCATCAAACTCAACCACTTGTATTTGGAGTACCAGGCTCCAGCAGAGTTAGAAGAGAGAAATAAATGGGTTTGTGCCTCTACCTTAAGGATCCCTGTTTTGAAAGGGAAATTGTTTCTATCATAATTAATATCATCATTTTAGCCACTTAGTTTCATCTGACTGAACTCCTGTATGTGAACTTCAGCCTAAATAAGAACGCAGATCCCAAACTTTACCAACAGCATCGGGAACTCAACTGTTGCACCCAGCTTCATAGGCTGGGCCTGTTGCTAAGGAATTACCCACAAGAAATTCCAGCTTTCCCACACCATTAGGAAATCTTAGGATGACCATAAAACCTTCAGAGAATGCTTCACAGGGTGCAGGGATGCCTTTGAGAGCAGCATGATTTGCAGTGCCACGCTGGAAGAGTATGGCTATTGCACTGTCATGTGCTTTATGCTTTTCCACTATCACCTGGGATTTATACATCTGGATTTTGCTCTAAAGAGCAGGACTTCTCCTTTCCTCCCTCCAAGTGGCACAAAACACCAAGCTAAGAGCAAAGATGAAGCACAGCATCTACCCTTCCTTACCATGCACGCACAGCACTGTACACCATAGTTACCTTGGTGTAACGAGTAGTATCGTACCCGTGTAATTACCCTGAGCACAGGGGCATCTATCCAGAAAGAGGATGAAGGGTTTCACATGTTCAGTTCCCCTTAACACTGTTACTTGGCAGCCTGACTTCCTCCTGCTAATCTAAACACTAGTTATACCAATTTACTCATTTTCATTAGTGGTATCGTCTTGTTGCTATTACAACATAGTAGAGCATAAAGTGTGGAGTAGACGCATTCATGGGTTGAACACCACATCAATCCTTAAGTAGCAGCGAGTATATTTGCACTGGAATTGTCCTTTCTTTGAGCCACAGGGTTTCTCAGATGTTCCTACTTGTTCTAAAATGCTCACAGAAATAATACTTTGTTCTTATCTCCCAGGATCATAACAGAAATGAAATCGCAGTTGCAGCAACCATGGCACACGAGATGGGACACAACCTTGGCATGAGTCACGACACCAAAGCCTGCACATGCAGAGCTGAAGTTTGTATCATGACAGACACTGTCAGGTAGGAGGTGAGGGCACTAACACATGGGGCAGTTCATGGGGGGCTTTGGACAAGCTCCAGTTTCCAGATGGACTAATAATTATTGTTTCCTCTAAGACTACTCCATTCAAATTATACAAAGAGGAAAATGAAGAAATTCCAGTCCCTTGTAAGATATCCCCAGGCAGATACACCCCCTCCAAAAAATTCCCAACACAAACCAAAACCAACTTTAGCCACTTTTGGGTAACATCAGCTTTGCGCATGAGGTGGAGGCCTTCACATTAAACCATACAGCATTTCTCCCTTACACAGAGGACAGCACATACTGGCTGTGGGATCTCAGATGACAGCTTCCCCAAGATTAACCTCCAGTATGTTGTCATTCTCTACCCTGTTGACTCCTGTGAAAACCACATCAAGAGCTTTTACCTGCAATAAACACCCATTAGCCAGGAATTTAGCTCAATTTTCACCTCTAGTTGAACATCCTGAGCCTCTGCTGCATGTCCTAGTGGAAAACTCCCGCCTGAAGCATCCAGGCACAATCTGTATAGATCAGGCTTCAATCTTTACATTTATTACGTGCAGTCTTTACATTTAGTACATTAACTATTTCTGATCTGTTTGTTTCCACTTTGTTTTCCCATAGGAGATTGCCTCTGTACTTATTAATACATATATAAAAATGTCTGCACCCAGCAGTTAAGGGGATGGTCACTTGTTTAATTTCTCTTGTAAAGAGTGTTGCTT